AGCCACATCATGGATTCACCCAAATTCAGTGAGTGCATTCTATGTACCCATCACTGTACTAGACACTGGGGATACCAAAGATGGTGACAGCTAGTTCTCACAAAATTAAAGTCTCAGCAAATAATTACATGAATGTAAAATTATTATCGGTGACGAATGGCACAAGGAAAAGTTATGCAATGACAGGAAAACCTGTGGCTAAGGGATTTTTTTCTTAGAAGTCAAGAAAATCTTCCCTAAAGACTTCAGAGGTCTTATCTGGCTAAAAGGGGAAAGATAAACATTCCAGATTCAGAGGAACTAGCATGTGCAAAGGTCTTGGGGCCACAGGGAGTTTGCAGAGTCTGGGAAGTAACCTAGTGTCCTCAATAATGTGTAGTCCAATGCTGGTCAACTCTAATACAAGCTTCCCAGTGTCACTGTGACATTCCATCCTTCTGGAAGGCTGGTGAAATTGAAGGACTAATGATCTGCTGAAAGTAGCTATTAATTTACAGCAAAATGGGAACTGAACTAAGCCCTATTGTCAATTAACATGCTGAAACTGGCACCCAGCCGGCATGCTGGGACTGAGTAACCACAACCTGCCCTGCCACAACTTGTACTAAGAATGGGCAATAATTGTCTAAATCCCACAAGCCCCCAAAGAGGCTGGCAGAGATTGCAGCCATGATTGCAACAGGAAGTGGAGAAGGGTGGTGGGTGGGCAGAATATCAGCAGAGAGAGCCCTTGCCAGCTGCACAAGGTCATAGACTGTGCCATGGCATTGCATGCATCTGTTTTGGTGCACTCTTTCTTTAAAAAATATTTTCTCCAGCTCTACACCCTTGTCGTTTCCACAGCCATGTCTCCTGACCCCAGTGGCCTGAACTCTTCTAATTGTTTGCTCTTCGAATGGCTTGTTTTCTTACCACAAAAGAAAGAGATTTGATCTTCTCATTGTAGAATAAAATATGAGACAATGGGCCCCCTCCCAGGATTCATCTTTGAAAAAGGCTTCAACAATATGAACACAAAAGAGCACATCAATACATGTCAAGTTTCTCTGCATCACTGCGGCAGAGGCAGTGACAGAACTTCTAATTTTTAACTGGGCACAGGTGCCGAGAGAAGACTGTATTTCCGAACATTCCATATGGCTAAGGGTTGCCCTGAGGCCAAGTTCTGACCAATGAGATAGGAGTAGAAGTGACCTGTGACAGTTTTCTAGGATAGATGTTTCCATGAAGGGCAGTTGGCACTTCTGTTTTTTCCTCTTCCAGCCTGGATGTGATGACTGATGTCCATGAGTACAAAGGCCATGTAGAAGGAATGTGAAAAGTTATGCTGGAAGGGGCCTGGCTCCCTAAGGACTTACTGGAATAAAGCCATCATCCCAGTCCTGGGCTACCTACCTCTGGACTTGTAAGTCAGAGAGAAATAGAATATCATGATATTAAAGCTGCTGTTATTTTGAGTTTCTATTACAGACAAACCTAACCCTAACTGATACATCTATCCTGGGGATTTTTCTTTCTTTTCTCTTTTTCTTTTTTGATGGAGGATCACAGTGAAGTTTTTTACTTAGAGTTCCTCAAATGTTGGCTGTGATATTCTCCATCTTCATGTGTGGCTGCTTCTTCAGTTTAACCCAGCAGAATCATGAGATGGAAAATGAACATGGACTAGAAGAATGAGGCCTCTGCATGCATCTGTTTATGTACCCTTTTAAAGAGTCAGAGACCAGCCCTGCCCCAATCTCACCAGCCATTTTCCACTCTGAGTTTCCACTTTCTCATCTGAAACATTGCCTCTAAGTTTTCTTAAAAATCTGATCGTTTCGAAGACTTGGCATGCTCAGTTTCAACCAATCCCTGCACCAATCTGCCAATGAAGGGAAATTATTATTGGGATGAAGAGTTTGCATCTCACCAATAGGCTATGCTTTTAAAATCCATGCATTACCTGGATTTTTAAAGAAGAAGGAAAGAAAGAAAGAAAGAAAGACCTAGGGAGTGTATACTTAGGGCAGCTTGAATCTATGCTTCCAGGTAAAAAAGTAAAAATTTTAAAAAGAAAAGAAACAACGGAAGGAAGAGAAAGACAAAGGGCAGTCTTGGCCCTACACTTTTAAGTCTTATCTTTTCTCTATTAAAAAAGAAATAGGCCTGGCACAGTGGTTCACACCTATCATTCTACCACTTTGGGAGGCTGAGGTGGGAGGAACACTTGAGCCCAGGAATTTGAGACCAGCCTGGGCAAAACAGTGAGACCTCGGGCCGAGCGCGGTGTCTCACGTCTGTAATCCTAGCACTTTGGGAGGCCGAGGTGGGTGGATCACCTGAGGTCAGGAGTTCAAGACCAGCCTGGCCATCATGGTGAAAGCCCATCCTTAAAAAAAAAAAAAAAAATAGTGAGACTTCATCTCCACAAAAAATAAAAAAATTGGCTGGGTGCAGTGGTGTGTGCCTGTGGTCCCAGCTACTCTAGAGGCTCAGGTGGGAGGATCACTGACCCCAGGAAGTTGAGGCTCCAGTGAACCATGATCATGCTACTGCACTCCAGCCTGAGCAATAGAGACCCTGTCTCAAAAATAATGACTGCAAAAGCAAACCCTCTTTGTCTCAATCAAAGGCATTCTCTCATTTTACCCTGATGAAACATATCCTGTGTTTCTGTGCATTTGCACATGCTTCCCCTCTGCCCACATTTTTCCTCTCACTTCCTCACACGGTCTAATTCTTCCTTGCTCAGATGCCCCCATCTTTAGGAAGTCACCCCAACTCTCAGGAGGGGATAAGTCTTGTGTGCCCTCCTAGCACCCTGGGCAAATCTCAGGCTGTCCCCACATGAGAGAATAAACTGCTTGACCGTCTTGACTCTCCAGTGACCAGCAAAGTGACCAGCACACTGTGAGGTTCATCAATATTCAATGAATTGGAAAACAAATATTCCTTCCTGTCTGATATCATCTCAGGCACTATCAATATTCCTGTTCAGGATTCACTTCTTGCACAAAGGATATCTCTTCTCTAAATTCACATTGTATCTCTTGTCTGTGGTATTCATTGTGAAACACAATCATTTAGCACCTTGCATTGTTGTTCACTTATTTTTGTGTATTGTGCTCCCCAACCGGAATGTGTGCTGCTTAAATGTCCAGACCATATCTCAGGTGTCATGTCCTTTGTTATTCCCGCAGTTTCTAATATAATACTATACACACAGTAGGCAATCGACAAATGATTGATGGATGAGTGCATGAATCAAAAAAATGCTTCTTTAAATTGTGACCCCCATGAAGATTTACATGATTTTGGAGAGATTTTAACATAAAAAAAACCAAGCAGCCTTCACATGACAGAACCCATTTGGTGCCATGAGCTATGCTTGCACTTTCTATGAGTATACATTTTCCTCCTGCAGCGGCAGTTATAGCTAGTGGATCTGAGCCTGGTCTCTGGAGCTAGACTGCCTGGGTTTGAAGGTGGCCTCCCTTCTTGCTAGCCTTAGTCTATAAGAGACTTGGCTACTTCATTTGTAAAATGAAGATGATGCTAATAGGACCTACCTCATTAAGTTGTAAGAAATGTAATATAAAGCAGAAAACAGGGGACAGGGGAAGGTAATCCACATTAAATACTTGGCATAGTGTCTGGCTTCCAGTTAAGTGTCTGATAAATGCAGTTATCAGTGTGGCTTCTAAGATGATGACAGAAGGTTTAAATGGAACAAGAACTCTTAGAGAAGCCAGGGCTCAATCATCCTGGTCTTTTCATCATTCCTCTTATTTATGTGGGCAGTGTCCTTGGTGGTATCACTGTAAGGAAAGGTATAGCAATGACTTTTAGAACCAAGAAGTCAAGTTCCCCAGTGGGAAGTGTCATGCTATGTAACTGGACAGGAGGCCCATCAGGTATGCAGAATGCATTTCAGTAACATCTTAGTAAAGGGCATGTGCCTTCTGCTGGGATGACTGGGTGCAATGCCATGTGCATGATAGGTATGAAAGACTGAATGTTAGCATTTATTCATCAAAAACATGCTGTTAGCCAGAATACAGATTTTGCAAACAGCCAGTTTTCCTAAAGGATTTGCTCTTTCAGATCATAAAACCTCCTCATTACTCAGCACAGAGATGAGTATAAATTAAGTTGTAAGCTAGTTCATGCAAATTATTTTACATTTTCCTGCCTCCCAGCTCCTCCCAAAAGTAAAATAAATGCAAAACAGTGTTTTTTCATTTCTTCTCTTTGTTTTGATCCCTGCAAACTAGCCACGATATTTCCAGAAAGATGTGGAAAGGTACAGTGCCCCACAAAGAAGAAAAGTTGGCATGTTTTATGGAGTATAAAAGGTTCTTTATTCTGTGTTTGTTTGCCTACCTGTCAGCCTGCTTATCTGAGAGTGCCTGTCTGCCTTGCACCAGGCAACAACCAAGCAGCCATTTAATCCTGCATGACTCCCTCCTCTGTACCTTCACCACATTGCAGGGAGGAACCTACACCAAGGCAGTCCAGGCTTAGGTTTCCCAGCAACCTGTGACCTGGCTGGAAAATGTGAATGTGTCAATCCAATTCCCTCTGCCTGGAATCCAGACTAGAAGCAAAGTAAGCTTTGCCAGTTAGCCACGGGAACTGCAGCTGCAGGACCATGAGGAAGGCAGGACCACAACCACCTCAACCACTTGACCCGCATGTAGGACAAAGTTGGGCACTGGGGAGCTGAGGAAGCAGAGAAAGTCGGGGTTGCTTAGAAGGAAGAAGCAGCATTCAGAGTTCAGTTATTTTAATGGGTAAATGCTAGAATGTCCAGAACCAAGATCTCCGGACCCTGGCCCAGCACCATCCCAGGACAGTCCTCGTGGGGACAGTGTTTATATAACCTTGCCCTGGAGATCAGGGATGGATGGTCCCCTGCCCTTATTGCTTCATGGGTATCTGTATCACTTGTGTTAGGTTTTGAGGGAGGGAGTACCTCTGTTTTTTGCAAGGACAAGAGATTTTTCTAAAACACTTACCTGATGTCACTGTTAGAGAGGCGTTGGCTCAAAAAAGCCATTAAGGCATAGCCTTGTGGTAACAGTAGTTGGCAAGATGTGAGTGTCCAGATCATACATAAACATCAGCTCCACTGAACTCTGATCTCCTCAGAACCAGGGTACCTGTTTTAAAGAGGACATGAGCAAATGAGAAGTCAAGCAGATGAAGGCAGCAAGTATAATGAGAGGGTTGGAAAGTTTCTCATACAAGTACTGAAGAAATAGGAGATTTTTTTACTTGGAAAAATAAAAATTAGGGAGACAAAGGATGTTTCTAATATATGTAGAGCTTCCACATGGAAGATACACCAAGCTTGCATTTTGTTCCTCTAAAGGCAAGAATTAGGATTGGACAGAAGTTACAAGGAGCTAGGATTTAGTCCAGAGTTTCCCAACAATGGAATGAGAGCTGCAAGATAAGGAGTACACAGCCTCTGGGGGTGTTCAATGAGAGACCAATTGACCAGCTGCCTTGTCCCAGGAGAGGGGAGTTTGGACTAGAGAATATCTGACAGTATCTCCAGTGTTATGCACAATGGATTTATCTACAATAACTAAACATTACCTCTAGGCTCTCAACAAAAGCTGCAGAAAGAAGCTGAAGATTAAGCAGACCATAAAATAGACATTCCTTTTTATCTCTAGAAGACTCCAAGTGGTCCAGCAAGAGAAGAGTCATGAAATATCTCACACCCTCTCTTATCTACATTTGTCTCTGGGGCCAATGAGACCATGCCTCTGCAGGAGAATGATGTTGTGGGACCTCCTCTTACTGAGATTAGCCTCTTAGAAGTGCGTTTGCTCATTGCCTTTTAAGCAGATGGAAAATTCTGGAAAGGAACTTTATTTTTTAAAGCTTAGAGGATGTGCTAGTTGGTGCCAGACAATTTTCCAAGGAAAAAACCAAAATCCAACCAATTTACCGCCCCCGCCCCCCCGACCCCAGGTGGCGGGTACAAAAAAGCAGGCAAGCTAATTCTGAAAGCTCTAACCATAGTTTAGCACCATTTATCCACGGGCCTTCAGTCCTACCAACTACTAATCATGCAAGTAAGTCCAGATTATTGCAGAGACCAGACACCTCTGCAGTCCTGCTAGAACAGACCAAACAAAATCCTTCCCTATGTGTCTTCTTTTCTGTCTGCCTTGGTCACCTCCACTATCCACATGTTTAATAATCGGGCAAAGGACATGGCAGGTGGGGAGAAATCCCAGTATGTCTCTCTATATCAGGGGTGCTTTCTGGACTTCCTCTTAGGAAACAGGAAACAGCATAGCAGAAAACAACTTCTGGGAGTTTGCTAGCCAAGGCCTGGCAGCCAAGGTGATTAGTGGGTAAGCTACCACTCCCACTGATGACAGGATAGTCCACTTACCAACATCCCTAGCTAAAAAAAAAAAAAAAAAAAAAAAAAAAAGTTTTTTTTTTTTTAAATTTCCATACTACGTCCTCACACAAGACAAGGATTCGATTCCAGAACCAGTAAAATAGAAACCTGCCAGAATAGAATGCCTTCAAATGAAAGTAGTTTGTCATTATCCAGGGTTTAAACTGAAGCAGAGCTAAATTATTGTTAGAAACCAGAACCATTTTGGAGAAGGATTTGGTTTCCTGTCAAACATGCCAGGCCATTGTGGAGCACAGAACGAAGCCCTGGAGCAATCAATCCAGCATCCTTCCATGATGGATAGGTAAGGCCCTCAGCCCAGCCCCATGTTAGGTGCTACCCAGGTATCTACGCCTGTCCCTGCCAAGGTGGCAAGTCTGGCAGCATTTCCCAGTGCTTGCCCTCTCCCAGCCCTCTTTGTCGTCCATTGCAGAGCTGTGCATTCCACTGCAAACAGAGCCTGCCATTGAGCCATTTTTCTCTGCACTGCACATAGTTTCTGCTGCCAGGATGAGTCACCATGCAACACATACCCTCATCCCCTCCACGCTGTACTTAAAATACTCCAGGGCTGGCCGAACAGAACCCCACTGTGAGTGAGCACGTGTGTGAAGGTGGGATTGGCAGCTCAGCCCTGCGGAGCCCTCTGCAGAGCAGTCTGCATTGTGTTTGGCAGAGAGATTCAGAGAGCCAGTATTTGGGGAGGGGCGGAGAGAGGAAGGTCTGTTTTTCAAACCTGGTTCCACCTCATGCAGCCTGCCAAGTTGCACCATCTCTTTTGCAGGCACCCTCACTTTAGCTTCTCTGATCTTGAACAGAAGGATCTTACTGCTGGGGGTTGATTTGTCCTGCCTCTTCTCCCAGCCTAGCTTCTGACTGGCCATTTTGCTACAAACAGAACTGCCCTGTCCTGCTTTTACCTGCCAGCCTGTCTCTGCCTCCAGCATGGATTTTTCTTCAATCACAACAGCATCTAGTCATTTCCTGAGTTAGAACTTGTCATCCTTACCGGGATGGAGGTCCCTCGCTGCTCTCCTGCCATTCCTGCTCTCTGCTTCCCCTCATCCACCCACACACAGAGCACTAACCTTGGGCAGAACCATCCCTCTTCCTCAGCCTGCACTGAAAAAAAGGGATTAAAAAGTGTTCTCTTCCTCCTGAGCCTTTAAACTGAACTCAATAATTTCTTTCTTTTTTCTGCAGAGAAACACTGGATTTCCACAGGCATTGGCTGAAAAGTTGTCTTAGTTCTCCATGGTCCCCACCCTCCTCCACACCCAGCCACACACTCCACCTGCCAGGGGTACCCCGCCCTTTGGAGAACTACACACGTTCCGCTTTCAACCTGCTGCTACAGCACCCTTCACAGAAGGGGCCTTGGAACAAAAGCCCAGATCAGCACAGCCTAAAGGGACAGGATGTGCTTGAGTTATTCATTACTTGAGTTGGAAGAGGTCACAGAGCAGGAAGTACACTGGAAAGCAAGGGGAAATGTGGCAGAGAGGGTGGGGAATAAGTCAGGGTGACCTTCTCGGGGCTGATGGGAACTCAAGAGTCCTGGTAGGGGGTGGGTATCAGAGTGAGAAGGAGACAAAGTCATAGCAACAGCCCAAGGTTAGCCAAGGTCAAATGGAAACAGCTGATTATAATTAAGCTAGCTACTTAGTAGCTCCTGCTATGCACTAGGCACTGTGCTTAACACTTTCCCACATCTCCCCTTTTATCCTTGTAATAATGTATCACTTCAATTGTATAACTGAGGGAACAGCCCTGGAGAGAACAAGTGACTTGCCCAAGGTCACCCAGCTAGCATGTTCTGAAGCTGGGAATGTGAATGCAGGTCTGTCTTGCTCTTTACCAGCTTGCTCTGTGTGGTGAAATGTTTAGATGGGTGGTACAATTCCAGATGGTCTAGAGTGGCTGGGCAAGTGGAGTCTGAGATGAGCTACTGGGAGAAATCTGGTTTCAATAGAGCTGAAGTCATGTTCTTCAGCAACAATCCCAGATCTGGGTGGAAACACTGAGGTTTTCAGGAAGCCTGGGGGAAGCTGGCTTAGGATGGAGCTGCTGCATTGGCTATGCAGATGTGACCCTCAGGACTTTATCAGTACCTGTGAAGTTTCCATGCAGGGAAATGGGGAGAGTAGAGCTAGGGACCTAAAATTTGAGAGGGGAAGATATTCCCCAGAGGAAGACAGTAAATCAAAGACTAGAGACCAGGAGGTGCAGATGCCTCATCAGTCTACTGGGTGTTTGCTACACCTCTGAAGACCTAAGGTAGGACACTTTTTTAGGAAAAAAGAAAATCTGTCACTGGAGACTCTCTTTACATACTTTGTTTTACCACATGCTTCTTCTGGAAGTGGGGCCGGGAATCAAGGGTGAGGTATAGGAATGGGGTGGGCACAAGCAAGGGCACTCCCCGAACCGCCTCATCCCTTCCCATGCTACCCTTCCCCCACTCATCTCTTTTTCCTGATTCTACCCACAAGTTTTCCCTCCTCTTACAGTAGTGGGCACTCAACAACACATACCCTTCGCAGCAACCTGTCCTGCTGGAATGTCCTCCATAAGGTAACTTCTGCCTGAAGGGGACCAGGGCATCATATCTGCAGGTGCAGCCTCTTCCTGCAGCTCTCATACCACCAAGCTGGGGCTTTTCCAACGTAAACATTATAGGGGCTAAGCAAGAGGTGGCTTCTTTTCTCAATAAGCTGTTCTCTCTCGCGGTTGCCCTTGACAGAGCCCTGCGGCCTCCCCCACTGAGGCTGGGTGGATAGGTGGCTGCTTCTCCCCTGAATTTCAGGAATGTTGAGGTTTGCACAGGTCCTGCAGGCGAGCCTGGAGAAGGATTAGTAGGAAAAAGCTCATTCTTCATTAGTTCGGGCTTGTCTTTAGGCCTGCGAGGTTGACCTTGGGGACAGAGGGATGGCCCGGACAAGCATCCTGGTATTGGGAAATTCTCTGATATGGGGCTGGGACGTCAAGATGGGCCATGGTGGCCCCTGGGGATGGGGCTTCTCTGCAGTGGAAGCAGAAGCATCAGGGTGTTTTCTGCTGTGTCACTGCCCTGAGAGGGATGTATAAAGCTGCTCCGGGGTTCATAGGAAGGGGATGAAACCAAGAGTTTGGCTTTTCAGCAACAGCAGATAAAGGGTGGGAAGATTTTGTCCTGTGAGCTAGGCTTTCCCAAAGGTCCTTTGGCTCCAAGAATTTTACAGCAGAACAAAGGAATCGATACACCCAAGGGGGCATAAAAGCATGCCAACGAGAATACCCGTCGCCGACCTGGCATCAAAGAAAGTCCTCGGTGGCTGGGTCACGTGCAGACATTGTCGCCTGGGGTCTAGAGTGGCGAAAGTTGCAACCGGTTTCGATGGGACAGCTCACGGAGGGCTACCCCTCCCGAGCCCTGGCTCCGTGCTAGCGCCCTGGGTGGGTTTGGCCATTGTCCAGCTCGAGGTGGTTCAGGCCGCCCACAAGGAGCACAGCCGGGCAGTCAGGAACCGGGGCTGCCGGCTGGGCCGGCCTGCAAGGAGAGGGAAGGGCCGGAACTGCAACCGCAGTGGCGGGGAGTGCGAGGGGGCGGCAGGTGCAGGAGCGGGAGGCGGGGCGGAGCTGGGCAGAGTCCTCGCGCGTCCAGCGTCCCAAAGTGACCTTCCCCCACCCCGCCAGGGCCCAGGAGGGGTGGACCCACAGCCCAGGGAGGCCGGGAGCGCGGGCGGGCGGGGGGTGGTGGTGGCTGGGCCGGGAATGCCGGGCCGGAGTCCTCGGGGTTCCGGGAAACCCAGGTGTAGACCACCTTGCTACGAAAGGGGCGGTTCGCACCCAGCCAGGAGGGGGAGGGGGCTGCACGGCGCTGCCTCAGCGTCCCTCGCCGCCGCCTGCGCCTCTCCCGCCTCCCCCACGCCCAGCGCTCCTGACAGCCCCTCTAGCCCCGGCGGCTCCTTTGTGACAGCCCCGTGCCCGCCCCCTCGGGCCGAGGCCCCGCCCCCCGCACCGGCGATTGGCCGCCCGGGCCGCTAGTGGGCGGGGCGCGCGGCCGCCGGGGCGCGGTATATAGTAAAGGCAGGGCGTGCGCTCTCAGCTAATTCCTCGGCTGGTGGCGGGCGCGCAGTTGCCGGCCCGCAGTCCGCTTGTCCGTTCTTCCCTCTGACTCTCCTCTCCCTGGCCTGTCTCTGCAGCGGTCACGGGAGGCGGGAGCTCAGCACACGTCTCCAGTGGCAGCGGGAGCGCAGCTGCGGGTTCGCGGAGCCTCCGAGCCCCCGAGGGCTAGAAGAGCGCTCGGCAGACCAAAGAAAGCCCGCGAGCGGCCGCGCGCCCACCAATAGGTGCGGGACTCGGAGCCGCGCAGCCTGCGCCGTCCCTCCCTCCGCCCCCGCCCCCCGCCGCCGCCTCCCCCTCCTCCCGCTCCTGCCTCGGCTCCTCCGCCGAGTGTCTCGCACTCCGAGAGCCGCAGCGGCCGCGGCGCGTCCTGCCTGCGGAGAGCCAGGCCGGAGACGCGGAGCGGCGCAGAGGACGCCAGGGCGCGCGCCGCAGCCACCCACCCTCCGGACCGCGGCAGCTGCTGACCCGCCGTCGCCATGGCCCGCGGGAAAGCCAAGGAGGAGGGCAGTTGGAAGAAATTCATCTGGAACTCAGAGAAGAAGGAGTTTTTGGGCAGGACCGGTGGCAGTTGGTGTAAGTATGGGGTCCGCAGCTCCCGGCCGCCGCGTCCGGTCTTTCCCGGGCGGCGCATTCCCTGCGCAGGCTCCGCGGCCAGTTCCGCACCCGCCGCGCTGGCCGGGGTGGAGGGGGCGAGGGTGGTGGGCGCTGCTCGGTCGCGCCGGCCTGGCCTTGCCATCCTGTGCGGAAATGCGGAGTCCCCAGAATGGGGCTCGGGGTCGGGGCTGGAACGCGACAGGCAGAAGGTTATGCGTATTTTAGCGATCTTGGCTTGGTAATTTGCAGTCTTTCCTACCCTGCCTCGGTGGAGCCCTTTCTTCCTGGGAATGGCCAGGCTCTGCGAGACTACATCTGTCTCTTCTGTGTCCTGAGTCCTTAAAGAAATGAGATCTGGGGTCGTGAGAACCTCAAGAAGCAATGGGATCTAATGCAGGCGAGGTTGTGTGTTACAGCATCTTTCTTCTAGTCTAAATACGTACCTCAAAAGAGAGGAGAAAGGGAAGGGTGGAGAGGAATCCATCCACACTGCAGTATTTCACAGCGATGGCTAAAGGTTTCCCTCTGTGACCTCCCCTGGAGTCATCACCACCCAGAAATGGCTCAGTGAGCTTCATGTCAGGACTCCAATTCTTAGCCCTGGCCCGAAACCTGGCAAAGTCTGGTTGTTTTCAAGGTCTACCGAGACAGATGTGGATCAGTCAGTAGATTGGGTTGATTATGGTGAAGGGCTAGTATAATATAAATGCAGAAACAGCTCATCTTAAAATATTTTGTGCAGCCTGTTGCTTGGTTGGATGGACGGTTCCCATCGAAAATTAGATTCCTTGTTTTCAGCCTCTCTACTCTGGAAGGGTGACTTTTTTTTTTTTTTTTTTTGAAAAAGGTCATTTTGAAGGGCAGAGTTGTAGGCGAATCTATAAGAGTCGTGACTGTGTGAGCGAGCGAGCGAGGGAGGGAGGGAGGGAACTCCCCCTGCTGCATCACTGCCCCCTGCTCCTCCAACATCATGATCATCATCATGACTATCGACAACACCACTAGCACCACCACTGCAGTCATTCACGGAGTCCTCAACAGAGGCCGATTGATGTTCCTGGTTGAGAGGATCTGTGGGAATCGGCAGGAGAATGAGTCAGGGAAAGAGTGCTTAGCTGACATTTTGAAATGGAAGAAGCTGGAATATATGAATTTTTGTAAAGAAAAAAAAGGCAGCCTGTGAGTCTCTCTTGATTGAAAAGTAAAGGGTTAATAATGCATCACATTTCAAGGTTAGTCAAGGTGAAGCCTCTTTCTAAGGTGTTACTGGGAAGCATAGGTATCCCTGAGCCATGGAAAATGTACCTCTTTAATGGGTTTTAGCTTTTTAAAAAATACTTTGTTTTGTTTTGGGGAGACTGTGTTCTTCCTGGAGATTATTGTCATAGCGTCTGAGGCATAAAGGTAGTTTCCTGTGTTTTCTTAATGTGAAAAGGAAAACCTGAAGAACTGTGGGGTGCGTGTAGATAGCTTCCTGGCAACTCCTTGTAACTTGAGGAAGGCCTGGGAGGTGCACTGCAGTATGGGCACCCTTCTTCCCAGGTTAGCTGGGGCTTCCTTAGCTAGTGGTCTGACCCTGCTGCGTCACGGGGCAGGGGCTGCATTGATTGACTCTAGGGACATTGTGAAATTTTCCTTCTTGTCCTTTTCCCCTTCATAAAACATATATCTTTCCTCATTCCAATTTCATGCTTCTTAGAATAATATTTGCTTTAGAGAGTAAGGCAGTATGGACTGACTCATTCTTTAAGCCGACATTTAATGGGCAGCACCTCCATGAGAGAGAGAGAGACCGTGTGTGTCAATATTTATGTCTTGATATCCTATCCAGCAAGCTATCTGTACGCTGATTTATGAATGTAGACCCCAGGGCTGCTGTACTTGCCTCCTCTTCCCTTCCATGTTCCATGGTACAGGTACGGGGCTAAAAAAAACCCTTTTTGTTTTGTGCTAATATGTCTGCCTCTTTCTGGCAATGTAAGAACTGTCAGAGCCTCTCTTAGGTAGAGAAGGTGGCAGCAATTACCAGCTCTTACAGAGAAAATGCCCCTTTTCCAGCTCTGGGCCCAACATGGATGCCCTTGGGGCGAGGACAGGATGCCCTTGGCTCGGTTTTGCTTCTAGGTAGATTTTCACCAAGATGGACGCAGGAGACTCGCCTGTCACCTGCTGGAGAAATCACAACGTGCACATCACTTTGTGCTTTCCACCTTTTTATTAGGTTAATACAGACATTGGTAGGTTTTTATATTTATAGCTAGGCCTAGATGCCTGCCTGTGACCCTTCGAAGGGTACAAACTTTTTTTTTCCCCAAAAAAACCTCTGTGTTGCTTTTTTTTAAAGTGAGAAAAATTGCATGAAAGGAGAAGCCTCTAAAGCCTGCCCACTCCCCTCATAGTGCCACCCCAGCTAGTTGGTGTGACTTATCTAGCCTTGTTTTTGGGTAGCCCCTGGTGGCCTGTGTCTGGGTGAGCCACTGCATAGGCCCTTCTAGTCCCGAATGCTCCACTCTTTCCCAGTGACCTCACGGCAGTAACTAGGGAGATTTTATCAAGTAACAGGTCAGAGCAAAAAAGGAAAATTCTTCACTTTTCTTAGGATATTGTGTTGGTAGAATGGAAAGGCTGTATGTTTCTGAGCTTAATCGGCATACTTGCAAAACGACTTATTTTTCCATTGCTCTATTTGTATTTTAAACTGTAGCATCAGTTATGTGCCCTCCTATGTTATTAGAATTAGGTATCTGGAGACCAGGGAATGAGTGTAGAGGTGTTGCAGTTGTTCGAAGGGGCACATGTCGGTAAGCTTAAGAGCACCAAGATGAGGTGCGGGTAGGGGGACGAGAGGAAACTTGAATCAAGGCTACAACAGCTGTCTTGCTGACTGTTACACCAACTCTTGCACCTCTTAAGAGCATTCACTGGAAAAATTTTCCAGATCTCTTGACGTCACAGCATTGCCATTTGCCTACTGCTGCTTGGATACAGAATGCAGCACTTAACCCTTGTCCTGCAGGGAGGGAGTGATTGAGTTGAGCGCTGTAGTTCTGGATTACACCAGCTTTTGTTTCTTCCTTATCTTTGCTTCTTGTCCTTGCCTTTTTCTTTGTTCTTTGCTTTTGATAGAGGAGAAAAAGGATTATGATTAAGCATTTTGGTGTGGGTTTTGTGTGTTTGGCTTGTTTTAACAGCCCTGTAGCCTGATTTCCCTTAACTATTTAGTGCCTGATAGGAAAGTTGGGCTTTCAAATGCAGGGAGTGGGCAATAAAGCTAATGCCTGCAATTGTGTACCCACTCCCTCCCGGCCTCCTCCTACCACATAGACTTCTTTTCGATGATACTGTTTTTCAGTGGCTTTTCCTTAAGTACCCTGGCATTTAATGCATGAGATCTGGACCTTTTTAGCAGTAACCTAAGGCTCTTTTGTGCAGTCATGTTTCTGATTCGATAACCTTACAGTTCACTTGCTCCCTGTTTTGCATTCACATTGAGTTGTTTGGCTGGCGCAGGGCTGCCAGGCAATGCCTAGTACAGCCTGTTACTACTCAGCTAATCAGGGAGATAATCCTTATAAACCAGTAACTGATAGCCACCCTCATTCCCATCTTTGTGTCCAGTTGTGTTTCGCTTTTGCAGCTGTTTCAGCCTCCATCCTGTTATCTTGTTAACTATGGGAAAAAGAAAATGCAGCCCAACAAGTCAGTCATTATTCTGGTTCCAGTCAGAAGATGAAATTAAAATGTGCTGGTCATTTCCGCTATACAAATTTTCTTCTTTTTGCCCTTGTCCTGTCCTCCGAGGGGAAAGACTGTGCTTAGTCAGTAATACAAACCAAAGGTAGGGTGAGGAAAGGACGAGAGAATACATCACTGGGTTTCTCAGCATTCATTGCTCTGCCACAGCAAAATAACCCTCAGGCATCTGAGAATTTGGAGAAGCAGCAGAGCTTGGATTGTAGTATTTAAATGTCAAGGGATATGCAAGCAAAGAAAACACAGGTCTCTAAGGGAGTATATTGTCATATTTTAAATTCATTGCAT